TAAACATGATAATAAATAAGTAATAAAGCATTAAAGATAACAAATAAACTATTGATAAATTGTAAATTGTACAGGTTTATAAGTGGTAATAAAGCTTGGTGAGGTACGTTTTTCTAATGTTAATAGTCTAACCTACAACATCTGCCTAATCATCTAGATGGTTATGATGGAATTACTAGATTGTAATTAACCAAAGTTAATTAACCAGATCTATTAATTTGGTCGATAAAATTATAAGTACTTACGGAACAAACTTCAAACGATAGCCGCGATGAAGGGATAAATCCTTTCCAACCAATAATTTTAGTTACAAAACCTGCAAAATATGGATAACAATCGGTTAACTGTTAATATGCTTTAGAATCCACGTGTGGGTACATTACCTCCCCGTCCAGTGGCACAGGCGTAGAACATCCAAACCCAACCCAATAGATACAGAGGTTTGGAAAATGCCATAAATAATAGCATTTCAGTTGTACTCAATAGATAGTATGGGTCAAAGAAGTAATTAACCCAATATANCAAAGAAGTAATTAACCCAATATATGGACAGCATTGTACTGGTCGTGCAACTGATCCACAGAAATACTTCGCCGACTCGACCGCCGAGATATAGGTTAGGCTTTTCGCGGATCAGATAACCGCAGAGAATACCGATAGCATAGCTGACAACGTGTGAGTCCGGTCGCCAGTAATACAATATAACACTGTTTTGAGTACTCCATAAAGTGTCGAATTGATACTCGAAATAGTGTTTTATATCAAACAATACTCGGGGCGCAACGCCTATGAATATACCAATTAGTATAACCACAATATTCCACAGCAAACCAATCCGTGGCCAACGGAATAGTACAAGGAATACAATCGGTGCCAATATGTAAAGCTGATAGTCCGATGAAATATACCTAGGTGTTATAACTTGTTAATAAAAATACTAAACAATATTCATAATATTTATACCAATTGCCTGTATTGCACTGTAAATATGATAAATAATATGTTTGATTAGCTTTTACATATCGATTGATTAAACATATCGATAGAAAAACTTACGGGATATCTGTCGGGGAGGGAGATATCAAAATTACTAGTCATTATGAGTGATGTTAACCAATTCTCACGACACGGTATGAATAAACCATTTGCAACAAAACTCCAATTTGGACCTACACTTCCACAATTACCATGTTAATAATACAGTATATAAAAATATCATAATTAATTTATATTCAATACCGCTGCCAACTAGTGGATAGAGAAATATCAATAAAATAGCGCCCATTGTTGGCGGAACTATACGTAAATATCTAATAAAGACATGAATTATAATGGTTAAACACAAAATAACATATTATGTTTAAATATAGTGTCAATACCTGAAAATGCAATAATTAATATAATTGAAATGTCCTTTTGATTTCTTGAGTTTGGCGAGCATTACATAACAAGTCATCATTCCTGGCATTAAATAAAAAAATGATTGCATTTATTATAAACTAATATCAAAAGTAATGTCCGCCAAAAGACGACAATACCTCCGATGCAGAAGAAAGTGTCGATTAGATTAACATTTTTCCATAGGAAGAAGTAATAGGAAAATATAACTTTTTTAGATACAGATTTAGACGAGTGTATGCTATTAAGGCGCGCGAAGTCTATGTACGCGATGTGATTATAAAGTACCCAAAACGACACTACAGTCCGAATGCCATCCAATATTACAAACTTATCATTTTCTCTCTTTGTAGACGTTATGTATTCAAAGTTTTTGATTACTGAGAAAGACTCGCATATGTGTTGCAAACCGGAAATTGATCCCGATTTGTGTGATTTCCATATATATCGGGCCAAACAGTAGTATAAAGTCGATAGTATTGTCAATACAATTAATGAACCAAATATCCATCTGTTAATTAAAATATTACTTATTATAATAATGTATTTAATTATAAGTTTTTCACAGTTTGTCTCACATTGATGTCCACTGATATCCATTTAATTTAATTGGTTTATTATGATAACTGCACTCAGGATTTATTACAACCGGGAGATGTGTTATTGGATATAATACTAGTAAATTAATATAAATTAATAAATATAATATTTTAGGCACTTTTAGGTACAACATTAAATATAACTAACACTTATTGAGTGCAAACTCGATATCCTGTGGCCGACATGTTGTGGGCAGACATAAACCCATTGGCATATCCATAGTAAATGTATTGGCAAAAGTGCTTATAGAAATAATATCATTGAAAAGAAACCTAGTAACTTTTAGTGGCTTAAAACGTTCGGTTTTATTGTCTTGGGTACGCATATAACTAGCACTATTATTTTTAATTTGTTCATTGAGCTGGGTCCAATTAACCAATGCACTCAATTCATCGTATGTGCGTTCATTGGGCACTATAGTAGGCGCCCCGAGCCAACAGTACTGACCGCTAAACTCCAGTATATTGGGTGCACTCGAACTTTGAATCTGAAGGCACTCGTCGTACCCGATATGCGGTTTCTTATGCGTTATAATTCCCGATTCCGGTATCATAAGAGTGTCCATAACTGCATTATGTGTTTAGAAAATTTAATTAGTTTATTATTTTAGTATTATATTTTACAAATTTGGCAATTTTTTTTTGTAATTTAATTTCCTATTTACTTATTATGAAAATAATTTATGAAATCGCATGTACACTTTGAGTGGATTTTACACACATTTATGGCAACTTTATTTTTAGATAGATTTTGTAATAAAATTCTGAATAATGTATAAAACCAATTATTTACCACATATTTTGTAATCAAAATGCATTAATATTTATACAATAATAAATACGGTTAATAATTTTTTTACAATAATTATAAAAATAACTTTAAATGTATTTAAAAATACTAAAAAATAAAACTATAATTAATTGTAATAAACAATAATTATAAAAATTATTAATCAATTTTAAGTTTATTAATAAAAATAAAACTTAAAATTATTAATAAATAAATTATAAAAATAAATACATACACGGTTTGACCCATTGTTTCCCGTCTTTGATTCCCGTCATAATTGTTATCAAAGATCTCATGCAATCATTTGGTAAATCAATTTCCATCAATACTTCACTCAAACGACTTCCCAATCGTTGGACAATCGGTTCATAAGTTTGTCTTATTTTGTCGGTTATATTCTTCAGACGATTGAGTTTATCAACGGTTTGGTTGATGTGATCCACTCTCTGGTAGATCACCGATCGGTTCTTCTCCTGTTCCCAGTCTTCGGGAGTCAACGACTCAAACATATTACTCATTAATCTATTGA